GCGTACAGGTCATTTTCCGGGCTGTAAAACGGACGATGTGGCGAAAATTACAACATAAAAAAGAGGCAGACACTGACACTCAACAACAGTATCGGACTGTATCGCTGACACTGACTTTTGTTCTACAGTGCTATTTTGGGTGAGGCAGTAACAGTGAATACTGCAGTGCACGTTTGTGTGAGTCAGTAACTGTGACTGTTGCGGTGCACGTTTGTGTGTGGCAGTAACTGTGACTGTTGCAGTGCACGTTTGTGCATGGCAGTAACTGTGACTGTTGCAGTGCACGTTTGTGCATGGCAGTAACTGTGACTGTTGCAGTGCACGTTTGTGTTTGGCAGTAACTGTGACTGTTGCAGTGCACGTTTGTGTGAGGCAGTAACTGTGACTTTTGCAAGCAAGAATCAGAAAAATATTGATACTGAATTTCGCATTTAGGTTCAGGTTCTGGCAACAGCTAAATTTAACTAGCAAGTCTCAATCAGGCAGAAACAACTACGTATGTTCTTGTTCAGTCGAAAATTCACAGTATATCATTCAATAAGTTCAAGCTTCAGTTGAAGTAAATTGGTAAAAAAAAGTGCGCGCCTTGCAATTGTCAACGAAATACATCCAACTTATATGAACTCTTTTCAGTTCTCAATATAATTTCGATTTTTGAAGTTCGGTCATTTGCCAAAATTTGTTATATCACAATTAAAAATTGACGTTCCCACCTCATACATAAGGACATATCCAAAGCTTCATCTAGAGAACTTGTACAGTATATGTGTAATCAAAAACAAGACCAAAAAGATTAATGAAATGCTCCACCCTAAATATGGCAATATTCAGATGCACATGAAAATATTACATGAATAAATGACATGTACAATTGTACATATTTATAACTAACATCTAAACAGTCTTTCCTATATATTTAAACGCTAAACCATTACAAACTAATCGAACTTGGCTCACCTAAAGTAAACGAGAGTGTATATGTCGGGAGCAGGACGGTACCACGTGTGATGTATCACCGCGCGTGTTGTAACAGCTGCTCGAGCCACTTGCAACGACACGCGTGTCGCGTGCGTTGTCCGCGCGTTCGAAAAAAAATCTACGCTTGAGTGGCCACCGATAATTGCGCTGAAAAATTTAAGTAAGGTCTGTCTGCAGTCTCCCACAGGTATATAACTTTGAACTAACATTGATTAAACGTTGTTCCAAAGAAATCAACACGTTATCAAAGTTCTCTCAGCGTCATCTGCTTGCAGTTCAGCGGCTTCCTTGCAGGCATATAATGTTGAAATAACGTTGATAAAACGATGTTCCAAGAAAATTAACTTAAAATAAACATTTTATCAACGTCAAATAATGTTGAAATAACGTTGATAAAATGTTGTTTCAACAAAACCAGCTGGTGCTAAGTATTTTTCAACGCCATTCGCCTGTAGGGAATCTTCCATTGTTAGCACAAGCGCGTGGTGAGGTTCCCACGTAGCAGCAGCAGCTGTGTTATGGATGAGACTGTAGTTAACATTCACGCCTCTATTGTAGGTATTCTCATGTCCATATATGAGGCAATATTTATTTATTTTTCATGTATGGAATTTAATACTAGAAAACATTCAAGTTTAGAAACAAAAATGTAGTTAAATCAAGGATTTCTATCGGGAGAACAAAAGACTGATTCTAGTGCTTATTTGTCTAGATTTTGCTATAGTCTATCCGACAATAAGTAATAGACAGCAATACGTAATAAATAAAAATAATTTGTATACATCAATAACTAATAGACAATAATAAATAATATAAAGCAGTAAGTAATAATTATATATTAATATGAGCTTCAGGACCTGTACGGTACAAGAAATAATCTGATATGTTCAAGCTTAAGTAGCTTAAATATGATCGACAGCTATAGCGATGCTGCCGGCTTCGCTCGCAAAATTTTATTACCTACGACAAGTATGCAAATCGCTTGATCCCCGACACGTAAAATAAGAACCCAGCTAAAGTTCCCCCTATATAGACCGCCGTATACATGAACGATGCACAAGCATCGATATTCGAACTTTCCATTTTTGCGCGGATTGCGTGCGCTTGAATTGTGCAATATTTTGAGTTTATGATATCCCCCGACCAAGCACCGCCGCCTCCATGCAGATTTAAGACGAGAAATTTTAGCTCTGCTTTTATATTGAAAAATTCAAAGACGCGCGCAACAGGCCGCTGTTTTGTGAGGCGGATAATGGCTTAGGTATCAACAGCGCGCGAGGACATGCACTAGGAGAATTGAGTGGGACTTTGTTCAAATATCGATGCAGTTTTTACCATGTGTGGGTCATCATGACTCAGTTTTGCCAACCAAAAAGAGAGTATCAGTGCTACGTGCAGAAAGTGTGTCATATTTGGACAATATTGCCCAGTAATTTCTCTCAGTGCACAGGGGACGCAAAATTATTCCCGCTGTCCGGACTTGAAATAAACATCTTCGGTCAGCGTGTCGTTCTTGAAAAATTATAACCAAAATCATTTTCAAGTCAAAATATTCAGCAATGGAGTGATCAAATATATTTTCGTTAAAGAGCCGTCTTCAAAAATTAGCTGTTGTATAAATAAATATTATAAACCAAATAGATTGATCCGAACTCTATCCGTCACAAGTCATCGACGAAAGAGTTCAAATATCGCCCTTTATTTTCGATTAACTTTAATTCCGTTGAAGAATTTCGTTCTCCATTTTCCAGAAGAGACTCAGACTCGAATAAAAATTATACATTATAGAGCAGGAAAAGCTTTCGTAATGCTTACAATGTAAATCGCAGAAAATTTAATTGAAATTGAATTAATAATTTGCATGTTACATCATTTATTGAGCAATACGTCATTTATTAAGCAATAAAGCGTGACTTTTTCATGCTCGCAGCCATTGCACACAGCTGCCACCCAGGAAAATAAGTGGTTCATCTTATCCTAATAATGACTACTCAGTGCTCCATCCGCACAGAAAGCTGTTAAATTGCATCGCTGTTTAGACAACAACCCGCTCAACATCTTATGGCACAGAGCTGTACAGTACAATTGTTTGATTTTTAAATCATTTTACACGCTCGTTTGTGTACGGAGCAATTCAAGCGTGAAGTCAGTAACGTGTTTCTAAAGTTACGTTCCGGCAACTCATCCGGTTTTTAGTCCCGCGTTTATTTGACTTTCGAGCGCGCGTAGTTATGAGGGGGAATCACTCAAAGAAATTAATGTAACTTCGTCCAAATATTGATGTATTTTTGCCCGTGTCTGAGGCATCGTGACCCAGATAGAACCAGCATATGGGCGTTCCAGTGCTACGGGCTAAAAGTGAGTCACTATATGGAGAATACTACCCTTCATTTTTCTGAATGATGATAGCGGACAAATAGCGATATTTTTTGAATGGATTGTTTATTTCGTTAGTTTTAAACAATAAACAAACAAAAGGTCGCTTTGAATTGTGATAGTGAATGCGAAAATTCCTTCTTTTTACTCATGGCTCCTGTTATTGGACACGATGCTTTATATTTTGATAAGATTTTCAATCTTATTTTCAACCTACGTTTATCATTCAAATAATCATCACCATTTAATGTAAATAAATGGTCATAGAAAATCATAAATATTATCAAGTAATAATGATTTTTTTGTTTTTCCATTTTCAAACTTCGAGTTTTTACCATCAACTTTTCTGTTTTAATTAATTTGAAAGTTTAATTTCTACATGGCAAGTTGTATGACTGAATTTATTCTCATAAATGGAAATACTTTGCATAGATGTTGTGGTTAGAAGGAAATGATTTACGAATGACTTACCGTAACATGTAAGCTCGATTTGCAATGTTAAATGAAACGAGAGCAATATCGTATGCTTACATATCATATCATTGTACGAAGAAAATCATCGCATTATACGTTTAACAGTGATTTTTAATTTTCGACTTTAATTTAATTTAGACTTTAATTTTCGAATTTAAGTTTCACTGGATTTTTTGCCGTATTTAAAGCAACGATTTCGCCGACATATTAGTATGTCTCGGTGTTTAAATAATAAAAATAATTAATTGATATCTTTCACTAATAATTTTTGCTCTCGTTATAGTTGTATTCTTCTATGTTTGGTTGATAAATATGTAGAACGGTCATATATATCCGCATAGCAAAGATATTTGCGTTCGCATCGAGTTCATGGAATTGAAGTGGTATAAAGTTTTAGGGTAATTATTTTTAATTTAATGGGAAATTAATCAAGTGTAGACATAACACATTACTAATATGAAAGAAGTCTTTCTAATTACTCTTCCTAACTTAATTTCCGTCATTCTCATGCAATCAAACTTTAGTCCCGACATTGACACCAAAAACATTCCTCGGACTCTTATAATTTTTTATTTCCATAAGAAGTTCGATGTCAATTTGTCCTCGATTTTGTACAAACTTTGCCGAGCGACAAACTCGGTGACGTCGCCACGTTCACATTTTCCGAGTTGGGAGGAAAAATGTACAATTTTTTCTTTCCCGCACTTTTTAATCATAAATACTTGCGGAATCAAGAGTTTATTGTTATAAATCTTGTAAAACACATAGTAAAAATGTATTATATAGTGGTAATATAAATGACTGGCATGGGGGAATGACATGAAATAGCCATGGGGGTATATAATTGCCATGATAGAGTCATTGTGAATTTTGTAAGGAATATTTCAGCTCAAAGTTATCTGAATTAATTTTACGTTACTCGTCATCCTCGCAATTTTTTATAAAGACTCAAATGCGATCACGAAACAACGGTCACTATCACCCCATCATTTGCGCATCCATCCCCGCATCCCTGAGAACTGACCCCCCATCATTCGTCACCCCATCATCCTTCCCCCATCCCTGAGAACTGACCCCCCACCATTCATTACCCCATCATCCGTCCCCAACCCCAAAGAACTGTCCCCATCATCCGCCCCCACCCTTAAGAACTGACATCCCCCCACCCCCAGAACTGGACGCAGAGTTGTCCTCCGAGGGCAGCACGACGGCGGCCCCTGCAGGCAACCTGCCGCATCACGGCAGCTCTACGGTGCTGCTGAAATTGCAGGTGCGTGCCACAGGTGCTGCTGAAATTGCAGGTGCGTGCCACAGGTGCTGCTGAAATTGCAGGTGCGTGCCACAGGTGCTGCTGAAATTGCAGGTGAATGCAAGAGGTGATGCTGAAATTGCAGGTGCGTGCCACAGGTGCTGCTGAAATTGCAGGTGCGTGCCACAGAAGCTGCTGAAATTGCAGGTGCGTGCCACAAGTGCTGCTGAAATTGCAGGTGCGTGACAGAAGTGCTGCTGAAATTGCAGGTGCGCGCCACATATGCTGCTGAAATTGCAGGTACGTGACAGAGGTGCTACTGAAATTGCAGGTGCGTGACAGAGGTGCTGCTGAAATTGCAGGTGCGTGCCACATGTGCTGCTGAAATTGCAGGTACGTGACAGAGGTGCTACTGAAATTGCAGGTGCGTGAAAGAGGAGTTGCTGAAATTGCAGGTGCGTGCCACAGATGCTGCTGAAATTGCAGGTGCGTGCCACAGATGCTGCTGAAATTGCAGGTGCGTGCCATATATGCTGCTTAAATTGCAGATGCGTGCCCCAGATGCTGCTGAAATTGCAGGTGCGTGCCACAGGTGCTGCTGAAATTGCAGGTGCATGCCACAGGTGCTGCTGACATTGCATGTACGTGCCACAGGTGCTGCTGAAATTGCATGTACGTGCCACAGGTGCTGCTGAAATTGCAGGTGCGTGCCACAGGTGCTGCTGACATTGCAGGTGCGTGCCACAGGGGCTGCTGAAATTGCAGGTGCGTGCCACAATAGCAATTCAATGTAAATCAGGATATCAATTTGGATTATATCATTTAAAATACACCTATAAGCATCCGTTTATTGGCACAATTAATCAAATAGATGCATTCAATTTCTTCAAGAGAATTCAATTAAGGACAGCCCTACAAGGGCCCGATTGAGAATATTCCTTATTATAATCTAAGAACGAAAGTTCTACCGAACAGCTTTCACCAAATGCGAACACGTCTCAGCGAGGCAGGGAATTTTGATTAACTTCAATCAGGATTAATTTGAGCTTAGTTGAATCAATCGGGAAATTGCCTTGGACGCCTTATCCTGAATTGGTGGATTAGATCAGGCCACTTTTTCAAGTTGATTTGCCATAATATACAGCGTACGGAACTTAAATTAAGTTGGTGAACAGCGTGTTACGGATCATCATACTCTTTGTACGGATTATTATTTTTAATTGAAAAATTTACGTAGCGTTGCTGCCTGAGAAAATTCGTGCTGTGTGAAAAACTTCTCATGGATTTCAATTGATTTTTATTTCAATATATGTATATGAATAAAACACTTACAAAGAAGTAATTTGCGCTATTAATTTTGGAATCTGGTCGTCATAGGCGAATTTCATTTCCACGCTGTAGAAGATTTGTACCCAACGATATTGTCTTGTCAGAGTGATAATATTTCAGTATCAAAACTTAATGTCCTTTGAAAAATCTTACGAATCATTATATTCATGTCTATAATACGCCATCTTTTGCGCCGGCTGTACAACATAACAGATAAGGGGTGGTAGCAGATGAGGGCCTGAGAAAAAAAAACATTTATGTTTATAGCTATTACGATTTATTTATAATTAATAATACACTACCATTGCAGTACTACATACCAATACATATTCTCACCATTACAGTACAACATAACAGACGAGGGCTGGTGGTGGGGGCAGCGGCCGCGATGGAAGATCTTCTCAGTGGCTGCAGGCGCGGGTCTCGGTCTGGTGCTGCTGCTGCTGCTGGTAATCTGCATAGCTCTACAGTTCAGGAAAGGAAATAAGAATAAAACGCGTAAGTCCTCAGTCGTTGATGTCTTATTTTATTGGCTTCTTTGGTTTTATGATTTGTTTTGAAAGAAGACATTTTATTGACATGAAGGTTGTTTGTAACATTCACAAGACTAAGACAGATTTTACAATCGCCTTCTTCCGTGTTGTGAGACATCGTTGACGCGTCCAACATCTGCATACGATATAAAAAGCTTATCGAATCGTTTCAGAACATTTTGCTCATTACTAATATATAGTGATAAATTGAAAGATTTAATAACCTGATATTGCATATATTTATTATGCATGTATGTACTAATTTCGTTTTTATAGCTATTCCTGAAGGAGGTGACAAACGTGCTTTCAAAGACAGCCTGGTGACGGCAGACTCCAGTGGACACAAGGTGTGTGAATACAAAAGACTTGGTATCCTATGGTCTCAGCCGAACCTTTAAAATCATCCATGATATTCAAATAATATAATAGTGATTTATTCTATTTTCATTATCTTCGAAGGGTTTCTCGATTGCGGCAGGCAAGAAAAAAATTGAATACACTACGAATTTGATGGAACGCATATGTGTAATTTCCTGCCCAACAACTCATTAAAAAATTATTTCCAGGCACAGCTTTTGCCCTCAGCTGAGTCCTTAAATCAGTCTCCATTCGACAAGGATTTCAGTTTTGATTTTTCTCCGGACCTCGGGGGAAGCATCGGCTACCACCCAGCATCCTACACCCTAGACCCCCCGTGTCAGTGCGTACCTCCTTGTCACTGCTGGCAGAACGAAACCAACCACGACGTCGACACCGAAGACTCCCTACTACCAAAGGGCACCAATACTCATACGACCTCAGACATTATCGGGACAAGGCCTCCAGAAAACGAAAAATACTGTAACGCCTCCAACAACGAGGATCTGGCAGTCTTGAACATGAATACTGTCCGGATTTTGACGGAATCTCAACCACAGTCGCCATGCGAGCTGCAGCCCGGAGACCTGCATGCGATATTCATCGAGGGCTTCGCAAGCCTTAGAGTAGTCACGGATCCTGAGGTGCACAAGCTTGTGTCTCCGGGTGCGGAAATGGAAAGAAGTTTTTCAAGCTTTAAAACAACCTCAACTCCAACTACAGAACGCCGGACGTCTTCGATCAGTCTACCTCTAAAGGCGAGTGTAGTTTTTATCAAGTGAGTTACTTCTCTTTATCAGTATAAAAAAAGCGTGTTGGAAACAATTTTAAATTTGCAGTTGAAGAGTTTTTATTCTACCTGTCCTTTCCAGTTTCCAAGCCGTATCAATATATTTATTCAGTTTCTTTATCTGCATGAAAATCTCAAATTACTGATCTAATAACCAATTTTGAGGTAAATTTTTCAATAGAAATGGTAGACGATAATAACCTTATTGTCTGGCTTCCAGAACACTCAAATTATCACCCGGAATTCTAACATATAATAAAGATGCAATTATGCTTATCAATAAAATTATGGGTCATTTCATCCCCGTGTTTTGTCCAAGTTGTGAAGAATACGTCGTGCGATAGAGGCATGATTTCCATGGCCAGCATGCCTTAACCTTGATCAACTGTTAACAGGGCTTTTTAAAGGCGGGAATTTGTGTGAACAAAAGTTCGACGTCACCGTCAATATTCAACAACAACGACGACGAAATTAACATTTGCTACTACAATAAGGACGATGTCGACACTTCGAAAACCTGCTCTGAATCCGCAATCATGAAGAAGGCGGAAAACTGCCGGCAAATACGTGGGTCCGGTTCCCATTATTGCGTCGAAGCTGGCACTTCTAGTGCCCTCGAGAAGCTCGACTTGTCCTCTGATTCTGGTCAGTGTCATCTGAGGGACGTGAGTGGTCGGTGAGTGGCATAAGTGGTCGGTGAGTGGCCGGAGAGTGGCGTGTATGGTCGGTGAGGGGCGTGTTATATAGTTGCGTATAAGTGCCGTGAATAGCGTGTGAGTTACGTAATTTGCTCGTGAGTGAGCCAAGTCTTGAATGGAATGAACACATACCGATAATGCCAATTTTAGACTCTAGAACTTTAGTTGCCGTCATTGTTGTGGTTTCCCTTGACGTGACAACAACAAAAGCTCCGTACCTTTAGAAAAGTCCGTCGTTAGTATGACCATTACGATTCTCAGGCAATAAAACCTTAGGGTCAAATAAATTTGGATAGCGTCGTTTTCTCGACCATGTGCTGAACTGAAACAACCAAATTTTAGTTTTCCCGGAAAACGAGCTCTTCTACACGTGTGTGTTCGGCATATACGTACAATGGTTCCACAACTCGAATAAGTAGTTATAAATTACTTTCATGTGAACGACACTTCTTTCTTCCAATTATTTGTCAATTTTATAGCACTCATGGCAGGAAACTTGAGTATTGAGAAGTACATCAATTTTTTTTAACGAAACTCCCTCAACTTTGGCTATCGTGGTCTAGGTAATCATTTAAAACTGTACAGAATAAAGTGCTTTAATTTATCATATATTTAATAACGATATCATGTTTATATAATTTTTTTAAATCTCACTCAAAACGGTTTAATTCAAGGCGTCATGACGATAAAACGTATACTAGAAGTCGGTACCTAGGGCAATCAGAGAAAAAAGTGAGGCTCTGTCCAAATAGTGATGCTCTCTTTGCCAATGTTGTGTTTCATACTGATGCAGTTTAGTCCAGTAATAGGACGTATTAGAGCTTCTTCCGCATTCTGCCCGTGCGGCAGATGAAAAGTTTGTTCATTTTTAGACAATACGACCCTTCATATTTCTGAGTATGCCTTTCGTCGACGGCTACTCATGTGTAGTGTCTGTCCGGCCTTAGATTGGAATAATTAAGTTAATTAATTGCATCAGAAAAACGTGATCAAACCTCGCCATATATGGACTTCAGTAACATAGTGAATTTTTTCCTCCCACTCTGTATTCTGGTTTATATCTTTCACTGTTCATGAATTATATGTTCGCTTACTTGATGTCGCATTTTAATATTAACTTAAATTTGCTTGTCAATTTCGAAAGCTATCGCAATAAATTTTGCGCATGGATATGAAATTAACGGATTATGAAAAAAATTATTTGAGTATCAAGAAGGCCTACTCATCTTACATTTATGGTTAAATTTCAGGATTTTGCGAACCTACCCCCAGTGTCAGCCCGTTCTCGCACTGCTACCGGACGCTGCCATTGCACGGTAGAAATGTCGGCATCAAATGTATACCGGAAGAGCGCATGTCATCCACGACTTTAAAATTCACGCCTGAAAGTCACATAAATTCATTTAAAAATGAAGCCTATAAAGATCTGGCGCCATTTATTTGCAGCCACGACAAAGGAACGATATCGTTTAATTACAACCACGACAACGGCAAAACGTCGTGTAATAATAGCGACACGACTTACTTTAAATGCGACAACGATAACAGCAAGCCGGCGTCGCAATATATGTCGTCCGGAAACGGAGGCAAGCTGTCCGCAGATAGCCATCCCTGCGCGGACATGTCGTCTGAAATTAACATGGAATCTTGGACGCGCTCGCTGCCGTCCAAAAACCGACGAAAATGCTTCCATGTGAACACTAATGGCAGTTCTGTCGTAAGTATGAAGCTTTGTGCTTTGTGTTGAAAACGTTTTTAATAATATTTTGCGAATGTTTTGTACCTGTGAATCGCAATACACCGAATATCACGCACGTACCGTAAAGCCTACGTATGGATCTTCAAATAAATTCTTCCAATTATCGTGTCTTTTCTTTTCAGGATGCAGACAAGCATTTTCCCTCATGTCGAGGGTCCGGAGAACCTCCAGCGGTTCTGGTGTACAGAGAGAGAACCGCGCTCTGAATTGCTATCTGCAATGAACCACTGAACCGTGGACATCAGCGTGTACTTACGACTACTTTAACCTCGTCAGTTAACATTACCCTAATGATGGTAATATTACCCTAGTGGGGTTAATATCACTCCGATGAGGTTAATATTACCCTCGTAAAGTTAATATTACTCATGTGAGATTAATATTACACCAGTAAGGTTACTATTACCCTCGTGAGGGTTAATATCACCCTAGTGAAGTTACTTTTACCCTAGTGAGGTTAATATTACCCTATTAAGGTTAATATTACCCTAGTGAGGTTAATATTTTCCTGGTAAGGTTGATATTACCCCATTGAAGTTAATATTTCCCTAGTGAGGTTAATATTACCCTAGTGAGGTTAACATTACCATGGTCAGGTTAATACTCTCCTATTGAGATTAATCTTACCCTAGAGAGGTTAATAATACCCTATTGAGGTTAATATTACCCTAGTGAGGTTAATATTACCCTATTGAGATTAATATTACCCTTGTGAGATTAATATTACCCTTGTGAGGTTAATATTACCCTGGTAAGGTTAATATTGCCCTAGTGAGGTTTATATTAGGCTAGAAAACAAAAAGAATTTGGCATGTGTTCATTCTATGACGGTAGTTTTCCTCTGTATTTTCAATGTGGGCCTGCTGAAAATAACCTTGTTTAGGATATGTGTAAAAAAATAGTGCAATGCATTCGTACACAAATACTAAAGTTCACTCTGAGAGCAGAATTAAGATAAATCGTTTGGCTTTTTAAATAAATTACCATGTGATGAACCTGACGAGCGATATTTCGGCATACTTCGATGAAGCTTTAGGGGAATTTAAATATAATTCATTTGACTTCAATGTAACTCTGGAGGAATTGCAATATATTTAATTTACTAGTTTTTATTCGGTAACAGTAGATATGAAATATCTGAGAACTTGTGAGAAATTGAACGTAATGGAGGTTGCATAAAATCACCGAGTAAAAATGTAAAATGTGACCAGGAAGAAAGATTATAAGAGATGCAGATGTGGAAAATTCATTCAAGGTGTAGCTGGTGAATGGGTTTACTGTTAGGAAATTAGTTTGTAAAAGTTAAATATTAGGATTTCATTAGAAATTTTTTTCTGAAAGACTTTTCAATGATAATACATTTTTACATGATTTGCACAATGATCTTGCTCAGTTGTGTACGTAATTTTAAAATTGCTTTTGGAAAAATTTTTGGAGCTCGAGCGTTTTTGACGCTCTCGAGCTCTCGAGCGTTTTGACTTTTAAACTGCGTGTTAATATACGAAAATTATTATTTCAAGTTGAAAAAAAGTTTGCATATAAGAGTGTACATCTTTAAGTATAGAAGCTTAGATAACTGTCTGAATTTGTACATGTTTGATACGAGAATGCAAGCGAATTTAGATCTTTATTGTTAGAAATACTTCGATGTGATGTCTTATTTGCATATTAAAATCTAGTATAAGAATTTTATTTGTTTTATCACCATTCGTCCAGAAAACAGTAAATATAAATAAGAAAGCCCTGTGTTAAAAAACATCAACAATTCGTTTGATTTTTCTACGCACAATGACACAGAATTATTGCCAATTGGCGAATGCACAGCATTATTAGAAAATTCATTCTCTAGCATCATGCGTGACATTTTTTAGATTTATATTATCGGAAAATTGTGATTCTGATGTCACATGTTAATTTCGACACTCTAGGCCAATGTACAGTGATCAATAGTTTAGCACAATGAAGAGTTTAGCAGCACCGTCTGTCTACTTCAGCACCGTCTGTCTCTACACGAGTTGCATTTTGGGTTCATAGTAAGGCAATCCTTATGATTGATCATTTCAGCAACACGTCGTTATAACTGATCTTAGGCCTTTACGGATGATCTAATCATTCAGAAAAAAAGTGACAAAGGAATTGGTAGAAATTCACGTAAATAACGGTTACCTCATTCGTCTCTTGTCCGGTGCTATCTCACTTCTCCCGCTCGTATCTCTCCTTTTTCAGAAACTATAAACGCCGCGAGAATTATCGCATACCGGTGCAGAACCCTACAAAACGCAAAGTTCACCTTCTACAAAAATTTAAATCTGCTAATTTCGAAATAACAATTTGCCATGAATAAAAGTAATCTACATAATTGAGTATTAAAATATCCTAATAATTTTTACTTTACTAATTTCCGATGAATAAATATTCTTTATTATTGGAGTCTATAACCTTGCAGTGATTTTGATATCTATTAGGCCTATTCAATTACCTAATAAAATAGTCATGCAATCCCATTTATGTCTTCAGTGACGCAGACGTGAGATAAAGATGCTTCATACGTGCCACTTAATTCATTCTTTCAATTTCAATGGTATATTAATGAATTAAATCAATTAATCTAGCTGATTTTTTCTATAAAGATCATTCATCTGGTAGCCATGAATTTACGAATGTTTCATAAGTTGCTGAAGTTGTTTGCAGTTAGTTTAAGAGGTAAGTGCCAGTCATTACCAGCGCAAATTGCAAGCTATGAGGCGAACAAATGGTCTTCCTCAAGTTAATTACCCTTTGTAATAGAAGAATAAAATGGTACTGCATACTTTCAATAAAGTTTTTAGTTTCAATATAGTTTTTAAATCAATTCATTGTCTCGAGACTTTAAGCAACGGTGCTTTATGGCCAAAGATGCATAGAACTGCAGTAATATTTACCAGATGGTGGAGTAACTTTGAAATATACATGTTATAATAGTGTTACTTCGCGTTTTTCTACTGTAATGTTATGTTGTAAGACCTATTGAGCCGTGTCACAAGGCGGCTGTGCGTACAGCGCAGCTCACAAATAGCCTTTGCACTATGCCAGTTTAACTCTTTTTACGCATTTTCTGCTCAAGCTGAAGCGTTTCAGTAAAAGACCGAAGTGAAGTCAGTGAAAGAGAATGTGAATAAAGGGTGGAAGCGAGTAAAAAGTGGTTCCGTTTTTCTTACTGTAAAACAAAGGTAAGCTAGTGAGTGAGGCAGAGTATTGAATGCGGCGTAGCTTTCGGTCAACCCTAATTTCTCGTTAATCGGACTTTGTCACCTTTACTCAGCATCTCTGTCTAGTGTCTACCTTACCCTGCAACTCTGTCTACCTTTACACTGCCCCTCCGTCTACCTTTATTCTGCCTGCCCCTCCTCCTCTCTATCCGTCTGTCGCATCGACTCCTCCATTCTCTCCCACCCCATCTCTCTCTCTTGCTCAGCTTTAGTGCCGGAGTAGGAATTTTCGACGGAAATTTAACTTACTCAACTCAATTCAGTTACAAACCTGTGTTTTTCTACGTGCATTAAGATGGCTGGACAGAGAAGGAAAATTGTAGTCGAAAAGCCCTCTAGTCCCGCTAGACAAAAAGCTAAAATCAAATAAGGTCAGTTAGAGATGAAAGTTTGAAAGTACTGCAAAGGAGGTGAGGTAGAGATTGATTTGGGCATCTGTGGGCGAGGTCGGTCGACCTGTGAACGTTGCGAAGATTTCAGTTGTATCAGCTGTTAGAAGTTGAGCTCTGAGGAGTACTCATTTCTCCAGAAAGCTGAATTACTTCATTGGTTTTGTCGTGACTGCGAAAAACCAACTCTTGGTGCTAGAAGAAGAGGAAAGCCGTTGGAAAAGCACGACAGAGTCGAAATCGTTGAATGATGTAGAAAACTCATTGAGCAGGATGGTGCGCTCGTTGAGTGAAAAATTGAGTTCGCTATGCAATGAGCTGACTGAAGTGATAGCTCAGCTAAAAAATAGAGAACATGGAAGTAAAGAACCAGAAAGTTGATTTAGTTAAAGTTGCTAGCTAAAGCTCCCGCGAATTACTTAACGAGAACGTAGGAAGTCCAACATTGTGGGGTTTGGCGTTCACGAAAGTACCGCATCTGATACGAAGGACCGAGTGATGGCTCATACTGCATTTATTGCAGACCGATGTAGTAAGGCACCAAACACACCGGTTGATATTACATCGCGCAAGAGGCTACGCTCGAAGGATGCTGCTGCCAACACCTGAAGACCTCTGTTGGTGACTATAAAGGATCCTGCTCAGGTTTGGAGCGTGCTGAAGGCAGCGAGAAGCCTTGGATAATCTGCTGAAAACAAGTCCGTTTTTGTGAAGGATTCTACCCCCTATAGAGCGAGCGGATTTTCGCAAAAAATGGCAGGTGCACTGAAAATCAGGTCAACCACTCTCAAGATGTCAAGACAATACCGGCCGCTCACGGTCAGTCAGCGGAGCTGGAAGACATGTAAACAGTAGGAGTCATATCCATAGATCCAGGCCTGCAAATAATGTAACATGTAACCGACTAACCGCATACATCAAAGTGAAAAGGGACAAAAAGTTGTAAAATCTTTTTATACAACTCGGATTCCATTTTAAACAAAAAATTTAACTTTTAACTGTTATCGCAAACAAGTGTAAAGATATTATTTGTATTACAGAAACACTCCCTAAAAATCGCCGGAGGAATATAGGAGCTGTTGAACTTCACGTTGCCAGGTTTTGATCGTTTTCTTAACTTGAAATAAATGAAGAGCAGTGCAGTAGAGGTGCAGCTCTGTGGGTTAGAACCTTTTATGGGGCCCAGCATGTTAAGTTGTCTGCAAAGCACCAATCGGCTAGAAAATCAATGTGGTACAAACTTTCTCAAAAAGGTAGGTATAGGCTCCTCATAGGCGTTGTGTATAGATAACCAAACAGTTACTCTGATAATGCTAAAGTACTAAACAGCCTTTTACCGAGCATGACTTTCATTATGTCGCATACGTTGATCGTTGGTGACTTTAACCATACAGAAAAAGACTGGGCAAATGAATCCTCTCGAAGAAATGGGCATCGCCCAGCATCCCTGTTCTGGGAGTTTGTGAGTGACTCATTTTTAATCCAGAACATCACCAAGCAAACCCATTATAGGGGTAAACAGACACAAAATATTCTAGATCTAGTATTTACTAGTGAAGAATCAATGTTCGATGAGCGTCACGAAGCTTCGTTGAAAAAAAAACACCACCAGTCTTTGTTTTTCAGTATTAAGTGCCATACAGAAAAGATACCTCGGAAGCGTGAACGTTTGAATTTTGCGAAAGGCAACTACGTTAAACTCCGTGAAGCCGTAAATATTTCGGACTGTATTAAGGACAAGAATGTGGCTGATTCATAGCCATTTCTTATAGACACAGTTATGTCGGCAGTTGATGCGTTTGTACCTAAGAATAAGATCGGTGGACTCAAAAAAAGTCCAAGTGGATGAACAGTACAGTTAATAGAATGAATTACTAGAATTTGTAACAAGAACCAAAACCAGGGGAAACGGCTATAAACCAAAAAATCTGAGCTGCAACTCATCAACGCGACAACACTTCTCGCTTCGAGTCACCGGCATGTGGAGCCTACCTGATTACATGATATACATCGTTGACGCTCCGAGTATGAACGCGTTCATGAACAGACTACTTAACGCAATGGCGAAATAAATTTTCAGACTTGAAATGCCTTTCAATTTATCGAACTTGATCGTCAGTTTTGATTGCTACTTTTGGCAGCCGGAAGGGGAGAAGAATTCATACTAGTGCGCCTTCGCAGTTGGTCGTAGTCAAGCGCTGGCATGGCGACAAGTCACGGAAAAAACAAGCGGCTAGGGACAAAAGCAATCCCACTGCAACTGTAGAAAATACTGCATTCTGCACTCAGTGCAATAAAAAGGTGCGCCTGGAGGATAAGGGTTTATGTGTGAGCTCTGCGCGGCGTGGTATCATGCTTCCTGCGTCAATGTTGATGACACACTCTACAAATATGTGAAGAATGAAAGTCAGGCGCGTCAAAACTCGTATATTCATTTCTCCGTGCAACGAGTTGGCAAACAAATTTGTCATCTCTTATGGCAATCTCTCCTGACAAGGACTGGGGACCATGGACGACACGAGAGTCTTCTCCAATGTCACCAGGCACAAGCGGGCGCGACACAAGTCTTGCGACAAGTGTTCGCTAGTGACAAGGAGCAGCCAGATTACGAGAACTAGCGTGCCGCACACCTCAAGCATTTCCTTCTTATGGTTGCGTCCTATGTGTCCTCAACGCCCGTGAACGAGCGACCAGACATGGAGATGAAGGGGAGCGCAGCCGTGCACCACCAATTTTGGGCACCATTAAGCCCTGAATCGAACGCCCTGGATCTCTCCGGACATCCACCAATCAGCCGTGAATGGACCCTCTATCCGTAGCCGACCCTTGACATCATTCTGCTTTGAATATTTTGAGCTCTACACCCCCAGATACGAGGTCGAATAGCCTGGAGTCGAATTGCCGTCCACCACTGAACGTTGCGTCGAAGCATCACTTCATACCCTGGCCACCGCTCGAACTGAAACTTGCGCGCAGCAGCCTGCGACCACTCGGCTTTGTCCTCCAATGCCAGCCTTGCATCAAGCCTGCCGTGCACCACCAGGCCGTCAGTCGAAAGAGCCGTG